GAACACACAATAGCCTTTCATTCAAAATAACTATTTACGATTTCTCTTATTATTTTGTAATGTAAAATTACAAAATTATAAAAAAGTACAAAAGCAAATAATAGGGAAAAATAGGGACGGGAAAAGGGAAGAGAAACATGTAGAAAAGAAGGGAAAAGGGAAGAAAAGGCATTGACTTCCCTTTCCCTTTGGTGCGGTAGAATAAAATAGTAACATCAAACCTCAACTTTTTACTTTTACATAATAGTATAAACTAGCCCAGGGGTGGTTCTACTTACCTTTACTACTGGTTTGCAACGGGATCGCATGTGCGTGTGCAGTCGTTTCGCTCACGTGCGCGCCTTCTGTGCATGCGCAGATCGCCGATGATGACATCCGGGCTGGTGGGCGGGGCCTCCAGCCGGTTTTACTACCGGTTCTTGTGAACCAGTCCAAATCGGGGGCAACCTACCACTGAACTAGCCATTTCTATAACAGATCTATTTACTTAGTAAAATCCAAAGTCAAAGTTTCATTTCCCCCCCCAATCTCAAGCACAAAGTCCAGAAACGGTTTCCAAGTAGAAACAAAAGCTATTTATGATTTCTCTAAGCACCCTGATTTTTCAAATGTGTCCTTCCAAGAGAAAGTTTTGAAATGTCACTCAACTTACCCTTGATAAGAAAATTGTATCAGCTTTAACCTTCTGAGTTGAAGTTTTCAACACCATTTTTTCAAAGGTGGATGTTTTCTCCTAAGCAGAATGATTCCTGATTAATCAGGAATCAGATGGTAACTATACTGATGGTATGGTGCTGCATAATCAACCAGATGCATCTAGATACTGTAGGGTTGGTTTTCTCAGATGACTAACTGGAGATCCGACGTAGTGAGCTAATTTATTCAGCCCAGTCTCTCCTAAATAATATTGTTTGTCCCTCTTAAAATAGTCCTCGACAATTTGTCAGCAAAGGAAATCTGTTTGTCTCCTAGTGAAAAGCACCTCTGTCCTTTTCACTGTGTTATCCTTGATACCTCCCATTGTTAGAACTGACCAACATCTAGTGCTTAAAGCCACTTCATTTCCCTACAGATATAATGCTGGTGTCCTCGAGACAGCCGCTTGTTCAGAAAAGGATCTTAAAAGATAATATGTGACCGATGCATCAGAAATTAATCTTTACCTTGTCATTTGTCAGATTTCTTCCATTAATCTTTTTTGAATGGAGCGTTTGAGATATTCTGTTAAAACAAGGTATATTATGCCTGTTTCTGTAAGCCATATGCCAGTGTTGGTGAACCTTTTTGGCACCAAGTACCAAAACGGGAGCGTGTGTGCGCAAAGGGGGAGAGGAAGCGCCAGAAACCGGAACAGTAACTCCCCGGTGTGCATGCGTGGGAAGGCCGGAAACTGGAAGGGCAGTTCCCTGGTGCGCATGCGTGTGCCAGGAAACTGAGCTTCCAGTTTCTGGCACCACACGCATGAAGACCAGCTGGCCGGTGTGATAGAACCCAGAAGAACAGCGGGTGACGGCTGGCGTGCCTGGAGAGATGGCTCTGCGTGCCACTTCCAGCATGTATGCCATAGGTTCGCCATCATGGCCATATGCCATTGTTCTCAAATCACATATTGGGGTCTAGGACAACTTGCCATCGCCAGCACACCACAGGACAACTCGCAACAGAACAATTCAACACTGTATTAATTGTTTTTAATAAACAAAAGGCACTTTCACTATTAGTGACATTTTCATTGAAATTATGGTAAATCTTGTATTTCTCGATTGACTTTATTTTATTGTTACTGGCCACAGTTTCATTGAAATTAATTTTCCCGCAGCAAGTTGTCTCGTGGTGGTGAGTTGGCCATGGCAAGTTGTCCCATTCCGCACATATTGGGGCTAAGCCAGGGGTGGGTTCTACTTACCTTTACTACCGGTTCACAATGGGATCGCGCATGCGCAGATTGCTGATGATGACATCCGGGGGGTGGTGGGAGGGGCCTCCTGCCAGTTTTACTACCGGTTCTTGCGAACCGGTCCGAACCGGCGGCAACTCACCACTGGGCTAAGCCATTACAACATAGTCTGAATGCAGAATTCTGTATGAACCTAGATGTGTAATCGACCGAAAGCGGATATCTCAAAGCCTCGTAATTTAATAAATATCCACACACAAACATTGAAATCATACTCTTATTATTATACTTTTATGCCATTTTTTTCCAAAATGGTCTCCCATTCTCCATTTGTGTGGTGGGGGAGGGGTTCCACCAAACATAAACTTTTAATCTGTGATTTCTCTTTTTTTAATAAATATTTTATTGATTTTCAACAATTAAAATACAAAAAGAAGAAAGTTTGTGCATAACTGTGACCATTTACATGACATATTACTATATTTCACTTATACTCTATACCAGTGATGGGTTGCCCCCAGTTCGCACCGGTTCTATAGAACCGGTAGTAAAATTGGCGGAAGGCTCCACCCACAAATCCCGATGTCATCAGAACGCTTCTGCGCATGTGCATGGCCCCATTGCGAACTGGTAGTAAAGGTAAGTAGAACCCACCCCTGCTCCATACATTCTAACTAAATTCAATCCTACTTTATCTAATTTTGTTTTTGTTTCTATTCTCAATCCATTTATACCACTTCTCCCATATTATATAATATTCCAAATCCATCAATCCTTTCAGCTCAAGTGTCACCTTGTCCATTTCAGCGCAGTCCAAGACTTTTTTAATTATTAAGTCTTCCGAGGGTATATTTGCATTTCTCCAGCAATGTGCAAAAGCTAGTGTTGCCGCCGTTATTATATGTAGAATAATGTATGTTGAGTTTTTTTGTCGCATTTCTTTTTCGTTATCCCCAGAAGAAATAGTTCAGGAGTGTATTCTATTTGGATGCCAGTTAATTCCTGTAACCAGTTTTATATTTTTTTTTCCAATATTTTTTCAATTCTGAGCATAACCACCATGCATGAAAGAAGGTACCTTGCTTTTGTCCACATTTCCAACAATTTGAGGTTAAATTTGGATATATCTTTGCCAATCTTGAAGGTGCCAAATACCAGCGATAAAACATTTTGCACTGATATTCTTTATATTTTGCTGATTTTGTTATTTATTTTAGGGGAAGGGGGGGCAGTCATTTCGAGAGTGAGAAGCCTGGAAGACTGGAGAAGTCTTGTAAAAAATATGAATATCAAGCTGACATGTTTATTAATAATGGATGCTGCTACCAAGCAGAATTCATCCTCTTCTATAGCTGAAGGATGTAGCAAATTCTGTGTGATGTACAGTATATCACTCTGTTATCTAACAGCTATGATGGGACAATGTGAAGGAATGACTGGAGTGATGGGTTGCCCTTGTTACCTTCTGTAGCATCTGATTCCTTCACCTTGCTTTATCCCTTATTGCAAAGTTGCCATTTTCAAAGTTGGATGTGTTTGTCTTGTCTATCAATAATCTCAGTCATCCAGGTCACAGTTGTCCCAAAAGTGCTTTTTCAAGAGGCAACTAGACTTTCTTGTTTTTCTTTGAAGACGTTTCACTTCCCATCCAAGAAGGGAAGGGGACTAAATCCTTGCAGACATCTGGTAATTTACATTCTTTTAGAGAGTCATTAAAGGGATGTGGTGGCTTAGTGGCTAAAATGCTGAGCTTGTCGATCAGAAGGTTGGCAGTTCAGCAGTTCGAATCCCTAGCACCGCGTAACGGAGTGAGCTCCCGTTACTTGTCCCAGCTTCTGCCAACCTAGCAGTTCGAAAGCACATAAAAAAAATGCAAGTAGAAAAATAGGGACCACTCAGCGCTCCATGCACCTTTGGCATTTAGTCATGCTGGCCACATGACCATGGAAACGTCTTTGGACAGCGCTGGCTCTTTGGCTTTGAAACGGAGATGAGCACTGCCCCCTAGAACTGGAAACAACTAGCATGCATGTGCGGGGGGAACTTTATCTTTACCTAGAGAGTCATTGAGGCCACTTGAATGTTTATCTGTACCCTCAGGATCACCTGAATAGTTCAAAAGAGTCTTTGCTGTTTTCAAAAGAGTGGCTTTTATATTTTAAATGCAGATGGACTGCTGAACCTGTCCTGATGGGTTTTTTCTCCTATGTTGTGCCATGCATTTTTGAAGTGGCTGTTTTGTTTCTCCAACATACAGATCTGTACATGCCTCACTGCATTGTACTGCATATACCACGTTGTTCAGTCTGTGTCTGGGTGTTTTATTCTTGGGGTGGACAAGCTTCTGCCTCAGTGTATTCTTGGGTTTAAAAGTTTTGTCTTAAGTGCAGGTAATAGGACTTGAAATAATGCATACTGTGATCAAGCAGGGCAAGAAAACCCAACTGGCTTAGGAAAATGTTTCCTGATAAAACAAGCCAGATATGTTACTTGATAAAGTCTGATACATTTATTTATTTATTAATAATTAATGCTTGGTTTTTCTGTGATCTTTTCCCATGAAGTATTTCCCCTATTCTATTTCTATTGTTCGTTTTTTTCATTCTCCATTATCAACAGGAAATTGTGTTAATCCTAGTTCATTTTATTTACTGTATTTTATTTTGTTTATTGGAAGATATGCAGTATCTTTCCTCCTATATTGAGGTATAATCAGATTACATTGCTTTCATATTGTTTTCATGCCAACATCTGTTGTTGAGATCCAAGGGGTCTGTAATGTATTCTAATTCCTTTGCAGAGTTTTTGCTGCATTTTTAAATCCCCTCTGAATTTTCAGATGCTTGCTTGCACTGAAGTCGATCTAGTTCTCCGTAAACTGAATGTTTCTCTCTGTCTCGTCTTCAGCTTTTCTTTTTTCTTAAATAATTCTTTCCCACTTAAGCTGCTGTTTTATTCATTCTTTCCCCTTGCCGTTCTTAGCAGTGACAAGTGTTGGATGTGGTATTTATACATTGGCTTTTCACCTTGCTTCAATGCTTGCCAAGAGCAGCGTGTTATGTGTGTGTGTGTGTGTGTGTGTGTTGTGTGCTTTTTGTCTTACCCTTTCCATCCCGCTGTGTTACTTTGGTCTCATGCATCTTTCAGTTTCCTTGACATCTTTATCTGAAGGATATTCTAACATCTAAATAAACGAAAGGCAGGTGTTACAAATTATACAGATTCTTTTCTTGAACCATTGTTTAGATAAACATATACAGTTGTGAGATTTAAAATGACAAACCTCATAGAAAATAAGGCAGAGACCATGAACAAGTAAAAATCATATTTATTATATATATAATAATAAATACATACACACACACACATATATATATGTATGTATGTATGTATGCATATATATATATAGTATATATATCATAAGCTTTTGCAAAAGTGTTCTCCCATGAAAGAGAGAGAACATCTTACCACTCCGAATACATGGTTTAAATACATTTTCAAGCAATCAGCAAAACAATTAAAATGTTCCCACTGATCATTGTTTTTCGGACATTACATAACATTTTGGCTTTCTCAGCAATTTTTGTCCCGATTTGGAATTCCCCCTTGGAAGGGCATTTCCCTCCTAAAAATACCCTTTCAATGTGTCCTTAACTAAGACAATTAACTGGAATAGGGTATCTTCCTTCCTTCTATTACTTTAGTTTGGGTCAGCCTGACTCAACTCAGAATGTACTAACTTAAGTGCCTGGTGTTATGTCCTCAGAAAAGGCATCATACATACTTCCCCTTTCTAAGTGTCTTATAGAGCTAAATGGCTTAGGGTTAGCTCAGGTCATATGAAGGGTAAATATGGAGTCACTTAGGCTATATTCTTTACAGGAATCATTCTATTTCTCACAACAGTGTACAATATACAAAATCAACTATGGCGTTCACATTGTTTAAGAAATTCCCTATCTTTTTAGGGATTTGCAGTTGATCCGAATCAACTGCAACTGTCAAATTAATGTCGATATTTGATCTGATTTGACAGTTTCAATTGATTTAGAAAACTGAGTCGATTTGATTCAGTGCTTCAATTCAGAATGTCAGCTTGTGTCAGCTTCATCCAACAATTCAATCTGAATCATCTATCCGGTTCAAAAAGTCAATTCAATTCAAAGAATCGATCAAATTGCTTTTAAAACAAATCAAATGTTTTCACTGTTCTACTAAATAGTGCAAGCAAACCTTTCTAATCTACTCTTCATTGTGGATGCTTGCTATCTCCCAGCCAATTTACTTGACAATATTTTTACTAGGGGGAAAACATGGAGTGATATATAGTTTTACTTGGAGAAAGGTTGGGACATAAATCATAACAAAATAATAATAAAAGGTAGATAGAAATATAGAAAAGCAAGCATGTTCATGTCTTAGAAGTTAATTAGCATTAGTAGCTGAAGTTACTACATAAATGTCTGCATGTCCATTTTCAAGATATCTTCCCTTGATTTTGGCAATGCAGCAAATTTAAGAAATAGAAAACTGTTTATTCTATGAGTAAACTGGAAATAGTCACATCATCTTTAAATAAAAGGAGTATCCAACCACTTCCCTATATTAGCAAAATAACACTACTTGCTTTTTATCAATCTGAATTATATAACAGAGCCTTTAATGCCATATTGTTGTATCCTTCAGAATACCCCGTATTATCTGCCCAAAAAATGACAATGAAATGGCCAATATTTGGTAATACATATTAACTACTATGTTGACATTTTTAAAAGTCATACATACATACCCATCCAGCTGAACAGTGTTAGATAGATGATAGATAGATAGATAGATAGATAGATAGATAGATAGATAGATTGATTGATTTTATTGGCCAAGTGTGATTGGACACACAAGGAATTTCTCTTTGGTGCATATGCTCTCAGTGTACATAAAAAAAAATTACAATAGATAAAATAGATATCACTGTAGCATCTTCTTCCATGAAGGGAAACCAACCATTTCTCTGAGACCATGGAGGTGTGGAAAATCAAGTAAGTTCACAGGGAATGTCCCTAGAACATAGTGAATCTCCCACATATCAACTCAACAAATGACTAAGGTCAATAAAAGTATTTGTAGGGAAATAAAAATGACAATTTTTGCATGTTTTGCTTGCTTTGCTGTTTGTACCTACCTATGCTCAACAAATGTTGAGGATTTCTGTATTCATAGTGGGTAAATTTCCAGCACCAGAGAGATTTAATTCCAGGCAGCATTATTTGGGGCATGGAAATAGGGGAAGTGCCATTGTTTTTTTGGGGGGAGGAAAATGAGTACAATTGAAATAAATACTAATATTTATTAGTATTTATTTCCTCCCACCGGCCAGTACGCTCCCATAGAGAGGGGCTCCTCCGGGTGCCGTCGGCCAAACAATGTCGGCTGGCGGCCCCTAGGGGGAGAGCCTTCTCTGTGGGGGCACCTACGATCTGGAATGAGCTCCACCTGGAGATACGGAGGATCCCGGATCTGCACACCTTCCGTCGCGCACTCAAGACTTTCTTATTTCATCAAGCTGGCCTGGCCTAAATCTTCTCCCCTTTTAAATGTAAATTTTAATTTGTTTTTAAATTATTGGGTATTTTAAATTTGTCTCAGCCAAATTATTTAATTCGTTTTTATTCTATTTTAAATTTTTGTATTTATGTGTTTTATTCTGTGGCTGTTCACTGCCCTGAGTCCTTCGGGAGTAGAGCGGTATAGAAATCCAATAAAATAAAATAATAAATAAATAATAGAAACAGGCTGTTATACCCCTTCTTGGAGTAATGGTTGAGTCTTTGTGTGTGTATGCTCGTGTCAGACAAGTTCGTTGCACTCGAAGATTCCAAGGAGAGCATGCTCCTGGTGACATTTTAATTGGGTGTTGGCATTTTCAGCACCATGGACAGTAGCAAATCTCTTTAAATGGGAGACTGCAATCCTTGCTTTGTATCATGTCTGCCAAGACTTTATCCTTTGCTGTGATTAGCTGCCACATTTTGAAGTCCCTTAGATATGATGGACAACTTTCATTATCTGAGTCTGTATGAAATTGGACTTCTGGTCTGACACATCTAGGTTAGGGGACTTCTTTAGTCGATTCAAGGTGGGAGACTATTTTGCTTGACATAAAGGAGGAAGCACTTTCGACAAAGGAGGACAGCATACATGCCAGACCCATTCTGCCTGAAAAGATTATAAGTTCCTTTTCTTCTCTCAGACCAAGCTGTCAAACAAGCGGACTTCTCAGTAAATGCAGTCAGAAATGGTGGTATTGGTTTTTATTGAATAATTCTATCGGCAGGATGCTGGGAACAATTAAAATGTAAGTTTTAATTTAGCGGTAAAAACAAAACAAAGAAAAGAAAAAAAATCTACTGCAGTTTAAAATCAATACAATGGCATTTTTCAAGCTGCCTCTTAACCAGAGGGCCAAACAGTTCCTAAAGATTCTGGTGGCATGGTCATTTACAAACAAAACGCTGTGATATGTAAAGAGATTATTATTATTGTCTTAAGAATAGTATTATATGTACTCTGAGACCAGGAAAAAAGCAAAGATGCAATGTTTGCCATTAGAATTCAGAGTGGATTACAGTTTTATTGTAGCCGTTCTGCATAGCCTAGTCCCTTCCAGATGTATCAAATATGATATCCAGGAATTCAGAGAGAAATTTTTCACATGTTGTTGGGGAATATTTTACAGTGAAGTTGGGCAAGTGGCAATGTAGACATTAAGAATATTATTATGGAATATTATATTGAATATTATGTAGCCAGTGGATTTGGCATTTTTGTTCATCTACAAAGTCTTTCCCAAGGAATAGGGGTACATCTGGGATACTATGCAGATGTTGTTTAATTATAGTAAAGTATCACTACAGGAAGGTGTGGGATTCATAAATTTTAGCAACTGGTTCTCTGCCTGGTTGCTGGGTGGATGTGGCCATGGTGGGTGTGCACCAGAGCAGGGAGGGGGGACGTTTTCACCCTCCCCAGGCTCTGGAGGCTTTCTTTGAACCTCCGGGAGGGTGAAAACAGCCTCCCCCGTGCTCCAGAGGCCCTCCAGAGGCCAGAAATGGGCCTATTTCCGGACTTCCGGAACTTCAGGAGGCCTGTTTTTCATCCTCCCAGAGCCTTCGCACAGGCGCTGCACTTACCTGGCATCCAAAAGAGGCCGTATGGGGACTCTTGGGAGGGATGGGGTGGGCGGGGCAGGACCAGAAAATCCTTGCAACTACCGGTTCAGTGAACCAGATGTAAAATTAGCATCCGGTTAACCCGAACCTATCCAAACCGGCTGAATCCCACCCCTGACTGCAGGATGTAAGCTGTTCTAAGTAAAGCTGCCTTTTGCAATTGTTTGAAGATGATTTTATCAACGCTGATAGTGTTCAAATGGTGCTCCATTTGTTTTGAAATTGCACCCAAGGTAGCTATTACTATTGGTACTATCTTTGCTTTCTTTTGCTGCAGTTGTTCTGCTTCTATTTGCTGGTCTTTATATGTTCCTTTTTTCAGTTCTTTCTCTTTTATTCTGCCGTCTCTAGGTATTGCAATGTCCACTGTCCAGACTTTTTCATCATTCTTATTAGCAATTACTAGCTCTGGGGTGTTATATGCTTGTCTGTTTGTATTTCAAAGTCTCAGAGCACTTTAACTTCTTTATTTTCCATTACTTTGTCTATTTTTGCTCTAACCAGCTGTTGCTTGCAGACAATCGGTATTTTTGGCTGATATTCCAATACACCATTATTGGTACTTTAGTGGTATGGCCATCCATTCAAGTAGACTCTGGTAAAATTGCAGAGAAAAAGTTCTCCACAGTTACATGTCTATGGTCCATAAACCAAGATATTTGTTTGAATGAAGCACTTGGTTTTAGTTTTGGAAGCAGGGGAACCATTCTAATGATCAAAATGGGTATATGATAATGGAAGGAATTCCCTGCATATATATATATATTAATATATATAATATATATATTAATATATATTAATATTAATCTCAGTTCCCGTCCTCTATTTTTGTGGATGTTCATGAGATGCAGGTCCAAAATAACATAACATCCTGGATAAGATTTATGCCACCTTGAAACTTTGACTTACACTCTTCGCTGACCAGTGGAAATATCTGCGATTGCTATTTTGGCACAACCTATAATGCTGCCCTGCAATTTTGATGATCTCTGTTATAACATATTCCTTTGTGAATGTATTTTTAGGAATATATTTTGCTGTTGAAGAAAGCAAGCAGCATTTAATTACAAAGAGGAAGATTTGATGGCATTTTGAAAATGCAGATTTCAATGATATCTCCCTATCCCTCAGAGAGAGAGAGAGAGAGAGAGAGAGAGAGAGAGAAAGAGAGAGAGAGAGAGAGAGAGAGAGAGCGAGGGAGGGAGGGAGGGAGAGAGAGAGAGGGAGGGAGGGAGAGAGAGAGAGAGAGAGAGAGCGCTTAAAGTGTCTTATATTTCATCAAGGTCCTTTCCAACTCTGTCGTTCTGTTCTGTTCTGTTCTGTTCTGTTCTGTTCTGTTCTGTTCTGTTCTATTCTATTCTATTCTATTCTATTCTATTCTATTCTATTCTATTTCCATCCATTCCATTCCATTCCATTCCATTCCATTCCATTCCATTCCATTCTAATTATAATACCTGAAGAGTCCTGTGGGAAATATCAAAAGGACTATGAGCAAATACGTCTGGAGAGATTATCATGGTTTTCCCTATTTAGGTATTAAAATGTGTACTTGCATTTTAAAAAGTCTGTTTTTATAGTTTGGCCACAGTGCGTATTTTACAGGGAAGGGAATTGAACTTAGAAAATAACCTGAATCCCAAGACTTAGTCCATTTGTTTGTTTGTTGTTCTTGTTGCTTTTTTTTTTTTGTAGAACAAGTGTTCCGCTGAGAGAAGTAAACAATGTTTGAGTTCATAAACTATACTAATCTCTACATTCGGCTTTCTGGCTTAGATAGTTCTCCCAAAATTTTTACTGTAGCAGTTTGTAAACCATGGCCTATAAATGTTATCAGCGGGTACCATTTGAGGGTCTCTGGAGACTTAAAAATTAAAAAGGTCGGCCTGTGATTTCTTTTCTTTTTAAAAAAATAATATTAAATTTCCAACATATAAAACACACAATACAAAATACACAACCAAAAGAAAAACAAAGAAAAAGACACAGCAAAAATTTAACACTAATGACAGCTTTTCCATATCTGTATCTCTATCATAACAAACATATTTACAAGGATTCTAATTCTATATATCTCTATCTTAAATTACATCCTTATTTAAGTTACAGTAACATCTATTCACAATGTGGCATGGCTTGGTGGGCATGGCAGGGAAAGGATACTGCAAAATCCCCATTTCCTCCCCACTCCAGGGGAAGGATACTGTAAAATCTCCATTCCCTCCCCATTCCAGGGGAAGGTTACTGCAAAATCCCCATTTCCTCCAGATCAGCCAAAACTTGGGTGGTAGAGAATAGATGGGGGTGGGGCCAGTCAGAATTTTTACTACCGGTTCTCCAAACTACTCAAAATTTCCACTACCGATTCTCCAGAACTGATCAGCACCTGCTGAAACCCACCTCTGGTTCACGCCATCTCCAACAAAGCTGGAAATTGTGGTCCTCCATCTTTCTCAACCTCCTCTTGCTTTATTCCCTGTTCTTTGATGGTGACTGTTAGGAAATGACTGTTACCTAACTGGTTGGGTTGGCAATATATAAACCATCAATATCTGTTTGTATGAAAACTGTATTGTATAGCTTTAAGACTGTATTACTGTATTGCATCATACTGTGTTCTGATTGGCTAGCTCTGTAGCCAATGTCCTTAAGAGAGAGCTTGAATCATGGCTTATTCTTTCTGCTGATCTCTCTGCAAGATCTCTGCATATTCCTTAACAGTGGCACATCTCTTGTGTGATTTCATTCTGCAGTTTATATTTCATAGCATCCAGAACATGTGATATTTATTCTCCCTTGAGAAAAGTCTCTTTTTTTGAAATTCTTGTTAAAGTGGAGGTAATTTCTTGCATGAGCAAGCCTTCTTCAAGTGCTGCTTTACATATCTTATTTTCTCTAAGAGCAAAAATTGAAGAATTTTCTAGCAGAGTAAATTATGCACATTGATTTTTGTTGCTAGTGGGCATTGATTGTTCTTCTCCCTGAGCTCAGAAGGAGGCAGCATTTGAAGGTCTGTCCATCCCCCACCCCACCCCTCCTGGATAACAGCACATTGGAAGCAGGTTTAGATAGGATACCATTCCTTTGCCTTAGAATTTCTGCATTAATATTATATAAGAAAATGAGCATGTCCATAGGTTTCTTTTGTTGTTGGTGGTGGTTTGGTTTGGTTTTAATTTGAATGGCTATAACTCAAGTGATAGCCGCTCAATATAAATTGAGTGGCTATCAAAGATGTGGAGACTCTAGAAAGAGTGCAGAGAAGAGCAACAAAGAGGATTAGGGGACTGGAGGCTAAAACATATGAAGAACGGTTGCAGGAACTGGGTATGTCTAGTTTGATGAAAAGAAGGACTAGGGGAGACATGATAGCAGTCTTCCAATATCTCAGCGGCAGAAGGTAGGAAATTTACACCTACTCCTTAGCCGCCTCTTAACTTAACACAACTTAACATAAAATGATACATACAAGAACAACATGCTTAAAGCCTGGGAGTCAAGCTATTCTCCAAAGCACCTGAAGGCAGGACAAGAAGCAACGGGTGGAAACTAATCAAGGAGAGAAGCAACTTGGAACTAAGGAGAAATTTCCTGACTAGTCTTCTAGTCTTGGCAACTTAGCTATTGAAATTTGATATGGTAAAATTTTAATGTCATCTATCATATATTTTTAGATTGCTATTTTTGTAACTGTTTTATCTTTTTCCCTTTTTCTCTTCTGTTTTGTTTGAAAAGGCCTTCGGGCTATTCAATAAACTATACTAAGTCAGTGGAACTAAGGAGAAATTTCCTGACAGTTAGAACAATTAATCAGTGAAACAACTTACCTCCAGAAGTTGTCAATGCTCCAACACTGGAAGTTTTTAAGAAGATGTTGAATAACCATTTGTCTGAAGTGGTGTAGGGTTTCCTGCCTAAGCAAGGGGTTGGACTAGAAGTCCTTCCAACTCTGTTATTCTGTTATTTTATTCTAACTCACTTCTTTCCTGTGTTAGAAAGAAAAGAAGGAAGTTGTAAAGACAAAGGAGTCTCAACAACTCACTTTAGTATCAGTCGAGAAAGGATCAGATTAATCCATCAGAAAATACATATAGTAGAGTATACGTCATCTGGAAAAAAATGGAATGGAAGTTTAAATTTTATCCAGTTCTATCATGATGGTGGGTGCTGCTTCCAGATAATAGGTGCATACTAGAACTGTGTTAAATTGTGCTTTGCTTGATAGCTCTATTGTTCCAGAAAAGATGTTTCTGGTTTTATACATATTCAGGAGAACAGGGGACGTTTTGCAATTTTCTGTAATTTTTGGCAATGTCGTAAAACTTACCACTGTTATATCTTTTATTATTATTTTTTTTCTGTTCTTCTGAAGCTTTTCTGGATGTCTGCATTTCCCAATATGGATAAATCTACTGGGAGAAATTCCCTCCGAATTGATTCCCCTTGGGATCGCATGGATAAATAAGGCAAGAAAAGCTGTAAATGGAAAGAAAGATGATTAAAACATAGAATATTCACACCCACACCTCATGTGCTTGCACACACCACACACACACACACACACACACACACTTTGGTTACCACATAACTAAGTACAGGAGTACTACAAGAGAGTTTCATATAATTCTTCTCGTTTGGAAAACAAAAAAATCTTGAAAGCACTTTATTTTTCGTGAAATTGAATGAGAACTGATAGGAAAGAAATTTTAGACTCTAGATCAGTGATGGCTAACCTTTTTGCCATCACGTGCCAAAAGTGGGGGGAACGCGGGGGTGGTGTCACGCGCGTGCATGCCCACACTCATAATTAAATGTGCCTCGCACATGCACGTGTGACCGTCCCGCACGCCCCCTGCTTTTGGCACATGATGGCCCGGTAGGCCTGTTTTTTGCCCTCCCCAGGTTCCACAGCCTTTCCAGGAGCCTGGGGAGGACAGAAATGGCCTTCCCCACCCCCCTCTGTTTCTGGCCTTGGGAGGGTCTCCAGGGGGTGGGGAAGGCCGTTTTTGCCCACCCTAGGCTCCTAGAAAGGTTCTGGAGCCTGGGGAGAGTGAAAAATGGGCCTTCCCCACGCCCCAGAGGCCCTCCGGAGGCCGGAAACAGCCTGTTTCCTGACTTCTAGTGGGCCCAGAGGGCTCAAAAATGAGCTAGCTGGCCCGCACACGTGCACCGGAGCTGAACTAGGGCAATGCTCGCATGCCCACCGATATGGTTCCCCGTGCCACCTGTGGCAAACGTGCCATAGGTTCACCATCACGGCTCTAGATTATGCCTGGCACAACAGTATCTTTGGGTTTATTAATATTTAGCATATGATGAGACACTCATCTATTAATCTATTATTCTATCCTATTCCATTATTTCCTTCCATGAAGTTAGGAGTGGATTTCCATGAATTCATGTTTGTGATTGTACCCTATTCATGGTTGTGCCCTAACTATTCCTTTTCCAACTTTGGGTTTTCTAGATGTGTTGATCTTAACTGTTTCTTTATTCCTAGTCAGAATATCTTTCCATTCCTCCTCCTACTATTAATCATACTCATCCTCCTAATGCTATTAATAACACGACAGAAGGGAATACACTGTCTACAGAATTATAAGTAAAACTTCCACGGGGGTATCATAGCGACCTCATAACTGGATGTCCAATTCAGCTATCCAGGCAATTGCCTCTGGTGTGGCTTTGTGCAGTTCTTGTAGGAAACCAGAGAATGCATGTCATGGGCAATCTTGCACAATATGTTAAATAGTTTTCATATCAGCATCACAATCACAATCTTTTCATCCCCACTGATACAGGGGAGAGGTGCTTCTTCCAGTATCACACATGTTCTTTGGATAACTTATTAACAGTATCTTTTGAGTATAGAGACCCATTACATATACTGTACATATATGGGATCCAGGTCATTCCACCATTGGTCAACCAGAAATAGGCATCAAATAGTGCTGTATTCAGCACTTAAATGCAAAATGATGCTGGCCAATTTTATGCATAGAATACTGAGGCTAAAAATAGTAATGAGGTTATGCATTCTTTGCTTGGAAAACTTCCAGACTTTGAAATCAAGACTGGCTGAATATTCTTATTTTCTTCTGCTGAGATTGGTATACTTATGGATTTATTATAAGAAATAGGTTGGTTGCCCATATCAGAGACTGGAGCATCTTAGTGTCACAACTGTTCTATCTCCAACTTCTGTTGTCAACTTCTCTCCCTTCGTTTAGGTCTCAAGGAAGAAAACAAAACAGATCCTTGGTTGTTGGGAAAAATATTTTAAAATGTGCAGTAGCTGAAATATGCAATGATGATAGTATCTATTAGGGATTCAGTGCTTCGCTCAGGGCATCTGTCTTCTTCTCATAAAGAATGACTTGGTGCAATGTTATCGCTTGGGAAACAATAGAAACTTTATTTTCTAGATAAGTTTCTGTTTTCAACCATGATTGCACTGCACTGCTGTTGTCAGAAATGTAAGTCAGTAGGAATAGACAACCAAAACAATCACCCAATTTATACATCTACAGTAGTGGCCAAAAATGTGGAAACCTTTTGGGAAAAGTATATTTTCTAAAACTAGCTAATAACACCACTTTTTTTTTTTTTTGGAGGAGTACCATAAAATTATTTATCAATGGAAAGATAATTTAATCAAGAATGTAATGCAATAACTTTTATGAAGGATTTGCTATTAGAATAGCAGTTATGGTTTAAAGAAGAAAAGGGAAACACATAGAAAAAACGAGATACACAAAAATTATCACCATAGAAAAACACGAGATATACAAAAATGATCACCATGTCAGTTAATCCTTAGTTGGGTAACCTTTAGCATGAATGATGGCCTTACAATGTCTTCCCATGGAATGAACCAAGTCTTTTAGTTCTGCAGCTGTTATCATGTGAAACCAAGATTGAATGATGGCTTCTATTAACTGGGTTTTATTGCTGGGTCGCTTGTGCAAAAATGAATAGATTGACTTTGACAATCAAAGAAAGAGAGGAATCTGAATATTTTAAGATATGGTGACAATTTTACCATTGGTTAGAGAAGAAATATATATATAGGGTAATGTTGTAATGAAACATGGGAAGAAGAAAGAGAGAGAAGATAAATGTATTAATAGCAAAGTAAGAAATGTGGGAGAAATGTTACAATAAATGAAATGATGATATTATGAAATGATTAACATTGGAGAACAAGAAGAAGACACAAAAGATGTACTCAGATGAAGCACTGAACGATTGATTATGTATTGTATGTTCGTTTATAAAAAAAAAATTCAAAAAGAAAAAAAAGAAAAAAAAGAAAAATCTGACAAATGGCAATGACCAGACAGCAAATACTTAAACCTGTTGATTGAGAGGAACTGAATTCAAATGGTTGATTCAATAACTTGATCTATTTTAATGATTCAAATAGATTGGAGAGTTGATCCAATCTACACATTCAAATCACGTAATCAAAGAAATCCACATTTCCATATGAATTGTTGGGCGGGTGGAGGAGGGACCCTTTCCTGCATAGCCACGGAAACATCTAAATCTAAAGCTGGAGGCATCTTATTAGATTTGACTTTCAGATTTGATTTGGAAAGTCAGTTTGATTTAGAGAGTCAATCAAATTGCCTTTGAATCAAGTCTCTGCACAGCCTTAATATGTGTGTACGTGTGTGTGTTTGTGTGTGTGTGTGTCTGAGAGAGAAAAAGAGAGAGAGAAAGGGAAGAATACATGGCTTGCTGGTTATTCATACTGAGGGTGATGACAATCTTAACATTCCCAAGTGTTTCTCTAGACTTCAAATAAGTTTGCAGACAAAGGACCAGTTTTGGCGATAGGTTCAATGCCTGAATTTTCCAAAACTTGTAGCAGGTCTTTCACAGGCAACAGATGAGTTAGTCAACAATCTGACATTTGTATAAGACAGATACTTAAGAGCCAGTATGGAGTGGTTAAGGGGATGGAGTAGAACCAGGGGATCTATAGTAGCTTCACATTTCAGCCATGGAAGCTCTCTGGGTGATTTGGACCCAATCATTCTGTCTCAACCCAACCTACACCACAGATTGTGATGGTTGTGGGGAAAACAGGAGGAGAAAGTGCTATGTACACCACCCTGAGTTCCTGGAAGGATCCAAGAAATACAGAAATAAGGTTTTCTTAAAAATTAAACTTTCTCCCACCACTTAGTAGGGCAATACAGGTGACTTAGCTTATCTGGTATATTTACCACTTGTCTTCTCAGTAGACCAAGTCTCTGCTTTGCTGTCAGCTCTCTCCTCCTCACTCTGCCCTGAAATATTGGATTATCATGTGAGAGGAAAAGTTGTTTATATTGTTAGCCTGTCTCAGAGATGCTTTTCTCTTCTAAAGAGCGGGGGGAAACATGATCCTTCAAGTGTTCTGAACGTATTTTGAAAGGTGACTTTTACTGGTTTTCTTTTAACCCTCTTCTCTCCCAACCCTTTCCCCTCCCTCTACAGCCCATCCCCTGGAGCAAAAAGAGAAAAGTATTTTTTAAAACGAATAATAATTTATGTTTAGTATAAAGAACAATTTAATGGCATCACCAAAGGTCATTCCCCCCCCCAAACCACACCACCATTAGCATCACCCCTGGTTTGTGCTCACACAGATGACTTCCTTATCCACCTGCATACATAAATTCACTGCTGAGGAAATGCATCACAAAACATTGGAGGAGAAAAACAGGAATAAGATCTGACTTCAAAGGACAAAGATCTGCTGCCAATACCAAACAAAGATCCCTCCTTTAAAAAAAAAAAAAATGTGACTGCTGCCCTTGTAAGGCAAACTCATTCTGGGACATTTGTTTTTTTTTTTTTTTTAAAGCCTTTTCTACATATATATGTATGTTTTGTACATGGGCCAAAACGTATGTCATTCGACCCTTGTGTTTACTGTCCACATCCACTGATGCACATGTATCGCTCTCAAGTATAAATATATTGTATGTTAGCGCTGTAAATAATTCTTTGTCATGTGTCTCACGTCTTCTCATAGTATCATATCCTTATTGTTACGTTTAACAGTGTCATCTATTGATTGATAAAAACCTATGTGTAAAACTGTAAGCTCCTGGTGTAGTTTATGTAGGTCCCTCTTCTCAAATAAAGTTCAAAAAGAAAGATTGACTCTTTGTCAACTTTATTCTTGAGGTTCATCCGCCATCTTTGTCTGAAGGCAAATCCAAAAACGGCAAAAGGGTGTCATACAAATCATATGAGCAGTGCCATCATGTGGGATTGATATTCCCCCCCAAAAAACTGCCAAACTGGCCTTCCCAGGTCATTTTTCAAGTTGTGTCCCTGATGTTAAGACTTGCCTACTTTTGCCAAGCAAACAAAATGTGATAGGAATCACATTTATACTTGAAATAATTCCTCACATCTGAGATCGCTTTTCAGGGTTGTTGTTTTTTTAATTTTGAAAGCTCCTTTCTCTCAATTGT